GTGGGGGGGGGGCATTCATGAAATTCACAAACAACAAGGGGCGGAGCTCAGACCCCCCCGATAGATCAATATCCCTCTCGTGGGAACAGAGTCTCTACATTCGTCACATGTCCCCATATTCCCCGATGACCCGTCAAAGCAGCAAAGTCACCGCCGCGCAGACAGCGGGCAGAGAAGCCACGCCCACATGCTACATCAATTCTGAGAGCTGAAAGCCGACCAATCAGAAGTCTGCGTGACTAAACTCCTGTATTGTTACACTGGCTGGGTCGCTGAGTGAGAGGAAACAGGAAGTGCGCTGTGTGAACGTGGTGGATTGTTACACTGGCTGGTCACTGAGTGAGAGGAAACAGGAAGTGCGCTGTGTGAATGTGATGGTCAAAGACAGTATGCTGGGTGAATGTAGTGAATTATTAGACTGGCCAAAGAGTGAGAGGAAACAGGAAGTGCACTGTGTGAATGTGGTGGATTATTACAATGACTGGTTTCTACGTGAGAGGCAGCAGAGGACGTGCGCTGTGTGAATGTGGTGGATTATTACAATGACTGGTTTCTACGTGAGAGGCAGCAGAGGACGTGCGCTGTGTGAATGTGGTGGATTATTACAATGACTGGTTTCTAGGTGAGAGGCAGCAGAGGACGTGCGCTGTGTGAATGTGGTGGATTATTACAATGACTGGTTTCTAGGTGAGAGGCAGCAGAGGACGTGCGCTGTGTGAATGTGGTGGATTATTACTGATTGGTTACTAGGTGAGAGACAGCAGAGGACGTGCGCTGTGTGAATGTGGTGGATTATTACACTGACTGGTTTCTAGGTGAGAGGCAGCAGAGGATGTGCACTGTGTGAATGTGGTGGATTGTTACACTGGCTGGTCACTGCATGAGAGGAAACAGGAAGTGCGCTGTGTGAATGTGGTGGATTATTACAATGACTGGTTTCTAGGTGAGAGGCAGCAGAGGACGTGCGCTGTGTGAATGTGGTGGATTATTACAATGACTGGTTTCTAGGTGAGAGGCAGCAGAGGACGTGCGCTGTGTGAATGTGGTGGATTATTACAATGACTGGTTTCTAGGTGAGAGGCAGCAGAGGACGTGCGCTGTGTGAATGTGGTGGATTATTACAATGACTGGTTTCTAGGTGAGAGGCAGCAGAGGACGTGCGCTGTGTGAATGTGGTGGATTATTACTGATTGGTTACTAGGTGAGATGCAAGAGGTGGGGTAAGAATAAGTGACGTGCCGAACCTTCCGTGCTGGGTGAGGCATTCCCCAGCACGCCGAAGCCCCACCCCCCCAACCCGGTCACCAATCTAGTGTGAAGGAGGGAGGAGCCTCCCCGTCCCTCATTTGCTCGTCACTGGTGAGGCATCGAGATCGATGTCCTCAGTGGTTTTTTTTCCGATTGGACAGCTTGGACCAATGGCCCTTTGCCATTGGTCCAAATCATCCACAGAGTTTAAGCCTCTAACAGAGTAGAGGCTGTTGCACCTGATGAAGTTAGGTTACACAAGCGGTGGGGAAGCCCGCTGCTGTGCAACCTAACTTAGCTGTCAAAAGCCGGATGCAGCGCCGCCTGCAATTAACAAGCGGCGCTCCGTCCATGACAGATCACACAGCGGG